TGGCAACATCTACAGCCTGAGGTATCAAAACATCTATGCTGCCCATTACATTACAAACCACAGGAGAGGGCAAATTCTTCAGCAGGATAGTGCTCATTTTCATATTTCAGCCTCCACATCAAAGTTTCTGAAATCAAAGAAGGTCAAGGTGCTCCAGGATTGGCCAGCCCAGTCACCAGTTTAAACATTATTGAGCATGTCTGGGGTAAGATGAAGGAAGCATTGAAAATGAATCCAAAGAATCTTGCTAAACTCTGGAAGTCCTGCAAGAATGCTTTCTTTGCCATTTCAGATGACTTCATTAATAAGTTATTTGAGACATTGCAGACGATGTATGGATGCAGTCCTCAAAGTTCACGAGAGTCTTATACAATATTAACAAGACATACATAATTTTGACAAGACTTATGTCTAAGCAAAGTCAGACCTTACTGCCCCAATAAAATAATTAAAATTCAAGGCAAGATCATGTTTTATTTTGGTAAAGTAAGCATAGTCTAAAGCCCTTTGCCTTTCATATAAGCCACTTCTGATACCAAATGATCAACTAGAAGTCAAGTTATTATTTGTTGTTCCTAAAACTTAGATAAGCGACAAGACTTTTGTCAGGTAGTGTATATTAAGGAATCTTGCCCTTAACTAGGTTACAAATTTTTACTGTTGCATTTTTTACAGTTGTTTATTGTTAAAATCACAGCCATATTTTTAAAGTGCAAATGTACAATAAAAAACAACAATAACAATAAACATTCTGCAGCAAAAACAACAAAATTCAATCTTTCCCTGAATTCACATGGGAAAATTTCTTTCAAAAATGTTGAAAAAATAATTTCCAGTATCCACTGGCTTTCAGAACCAGTCATGTGCATATAGAAAGAACAATTTAACAATAATGCGAAAGAGATGAAAGCACACTTTCCTTGAACATGCGCCCTGCTGTGACACAATACAACCTACATGAAGTATATGCTAATATACGTGTTTGTTGTCTGTGGAGTGAAATCTGACTAGGCTATTGAAACTCGACGTGCGAACTCTTTTTCTCCAGCGCCTTCCATTCCACTTCCTATCCTTGTATCTCAGGCTCAATCCCACAGCAGGCATCACAGCGAGCAGATTAATGACTTAAACAGCGCCGACATGGTCCCAAGCTCACAGAGAAAACCGGGAGAGGGAGAATGAATGCGATGCAGCAGGAAGTCTTTCAGAATGACATTCACACAGAAGAGCCCAGCACGTTGAATGAAAGCGGCGTCAGGATGAAGATGACATGATAGAATGGGAAACAAAGACCGAGAGATAGGAGATGGGATTAGTAGCAGAATTAATTAGCGGTAAGGTCAGCACATGACAAATTGTGGTTTTATAAGGAAAAAAAAAGGCAAGATGGTAGCAACTACCCATGGCACTTGACAAATCGGTTGAGGGAGAACGAGAGAGGATCTTGCATGACGGATTTTGACTGGCATCTCTAATTAAAAGGTGCTGTCAGGGGCCACAGTGCAGGGAGACATGGGCCCCATCAGCCCCCGAGACTCGTCCCCGGAAATGATTGATGAGCAATTGCAAGATAAACAAGACGCCCCATGAGCTGAGCTGCAAACTGATGTATGCAGTATTATAAATAAATCTGCGCCAGATAGAAATGATACAATAAACAAGACAATGCGGAGCAGACAATGACTTGCGCTTTCCAGAGAGGATACATGGGGAGTAGGTGTGTGTGCATGTGTGTGAGAAAGGAGTATAATATGTTTGCTGGCGTGCTGGGGTAAAGTGATGGCTGGCTAACAGACGCTAACAGCAGCTGGTTTCATGGCTGAGACTTTGCTGAAGCGCCTGAACTCCCACACTCCCAACTCGCACGCTACAAAACTGCAGCCTCTTGGGACCTCGCCAGACTCTGCCAGCCATAGATGCACCTTAATGCGTGTGCCTGTAGCTTTTTACTGAGCGTGCATGCCCTCGCAGACGTGTGTGCGTGTGTGTGTGTGCAAACGAACGAGCTGGGATGTGTGAATGTGTTTCCTCGCTCTGCAGTTATTAGTTGTTGGGAAACATGTGTACTGTCATAAAGAGAAGCGAGCTGGGAGCTCTTCAGATACGTACGCGGTATCATTATCAACCAGAGGGCAGTGGGATGGTAAAGTGAGAATGAATTATGAATGGAAAGTTGAGAATGTTCTCGCGCGTGTTTTCCCCACAGGACGTGATCCGCTGCTCATTTGCATCAGCAAAGAGGAGCTGTTGGTCGTAGGTCTAAATGAAATATACTGATTTCTCCCTCGCTCTTGATAAACAAAGCTGAGTTGCGGTATGTTTAAAGCTGGCGCGAATGGAAAATTGACCCTATTTGAACATTTTAGAAAGGCTACATAAGTGTACATACAAGGGGGAATAGGAAAAAAAAAAGGACAAAATAGCTCTTTGTCGGTTGGTTCACATAATACACCTTCCTGGAGCTCTATTTACTATTTTACAGAGATTATTTACTGTGGTTTGAATTTTACTGAATAGATTATTGGTAAACATTATTCTTATAAAGGTTGTTTTTGTAACAGTTTTAATAATCGTACACAATTAAAGCAGTAACTTTTCATTAATAAAGTGCAGGTTATTATAAACAAAAAGCCACATTGCTTTCAACCATTTTTTGTTGTAATTTATGTCAGTTAACTGTAATGCATATGGAAATATATTCACTACCTGTCAAATGTTTTAAAATAAGCTTCTCCTGCTCAACAAGACTACATTTATTTAATCAAAATTCAGTACAAATTGTAAAATTGTGAAATGTTATTGCACTAGAAAAGAACTGTTTAAAAGTAATTTATAATTTAATTAAAAAAAAAATTTCCAGTGATTTTAAAGATAAATTTTTAGCTTCATTACTCCAGTCTTCAGAATCACATGATCCTTCAGAAATCACTTTAATATGAATAATAATAATTATTATTATTATTATTATTATTATTGTTAATAGTAATAGTAATAAGATAAATAATAACTGGGGTAATACTTTCATTTGAAACTACATACAATAGAAAAGCAGTTATTTAAAATTTTTATAAATATTATATTTTAAATTTGCATTTAATAAATGCTGCCTTGATGAACAGAATAATTTTCTTAAAAAAAAAAGAAAAATGTTTGGAGTTGTTTTTTATTTCAATATTCAAAAAAGGGCTGTGTTGAATGTATATGTATGGAAATTTTGATTTGCTTTGATGAACGGAATGTTCAAAAGAACAACATGGTTTTGAAATGTAAATGAACATTATAATTGTGCTTTTTCATGAATTTGATACTCTTGTCACTTTTGTTACATTTTACTTTTCCTACCTGTGTTTTTTTTTTTTTTTTAATGACCCATAAGCACCAACCGTCACCTTAAAATTATAAGGTTCTATCTGACATTTTTGTCAAAATTGAGTTATTGACATATTCTTATTAAATGACAGCTTATTAACATTATGGGATGTTTTTTTTATAAGTTTTTTACATTTAAAAACTTTTTATTTAAAAACAAACACATACTGTTATCTATGTGGAATGCAAATATTTTGAAGCTCAATATCTCGAAATTACTCAAAACACAGAAAGAACCTTAATTCCAAAGTGACGAAACTTAAAAAAATAAAAAATAATAATAAAATTCAATGGGGTGACACAGTGGCTCAGTGGTTGGCACTGTCACCTCACAGCAAGAAGGTCGCTGGTTCAAGTCCCAGCCTGGTTAGATGGCAAACATTTGCTGGATAAGTTGGCAGTTCATTCTGCTGTGGTGACCCCTGGTAAATAAAGGGACTAAGCCAAAGGAAAATTAATATATGAAGAAAATTTCATGTCCAAGTATATGTTCATGTACGAATATTTGAACACAAAATATATCAAAAGAAAATAGACATCTGCTAAAAAAGAAAGAAAGTTTTTTTGGCTTTATACATTCTGTCAACAGTTGAATGCGCGCAAGTTTCATTAAAAAGCAACAATAAACAAGAAAGAAAATCACATTTTTATTCAAAAGTGCATTTGTGTTGGATTTTGAATGATTATTAATCATAGGTTTAGGAGGTTCTCAGTCATGTACCTATTTTGTGAAATGTAACCCAGTTTTAAAAACTATTACTACAGTTTTAAATAATATGCTGTTAAATAATAACTTACTCATTTCCTTACATTTTTAAGCTGAACTAAATTAACCTTATAAGTTCATTGAACTTATACATTATTATGTTAAACTGACTTAAAATAGCTTGTGTAACATATCAAATCAAAGTAGAACACAATCAAGTTTGTTAAGTTACAATGACCTATAAACATATGCTATCAGGACTAATTGATCATATATATATATATTTTTTTTTTGCTGTGTATTAGCTTGAATGTGTATCAATAATACTTCTACTTGTTTCTGCTTCATCTTCAGCTGTTTTTTAGGTCTGGACTTTCCTTTATGCCCCTCTCTGTATAACAGCAAAAAAAAAAAAAAAAAAATTAAATAAATAAATAAATAATGAATGAAAATTTTGTTATTTGCTAAATAAAAGTATTTATTTATCTTAAAAAAACGTACTGACTCCAAACCAAAGAACTAAAAACAAGCAAAAACTTTCAGACATAAATTCCTCTAATTATAAAAATGTCAAACAAGTTGCAGATTCTTTCAGGCATATGTAAATTTATGATTCAATTCTTGGTCACCTTTAAGAGGTAATATGCTTTTAAAAGCCATTCTGTGGCACCTTAAATGCTTCCTTTTTAATTCTGTACGTCCATAAACAGCCCTATGCATCTGTGTGAGGTGTTACTCAGTGCAGCTCGGCTTGTCCCTCTCTCTCTCTGCTTTGAGTCAGCCTTCTTTGTGTTCTTCTGCCGAATGAGTCCCTCAGCACTAAAAATTTCTCTTCCTCTCCCTTCCCTCCCCACCCCATCTCTTTTCTTTCTTCCTTCCTTCCATCCACCCCTTCTCTTACCATTTCCCTCACTTCTGGATCTAGGCCACAGAATGGGTCGATGATCCTTTACAATAGAAAGAAGGTGAAGTACAGAAAGGACGGCTACTGCTGGAAAAAAAGGAAAGATGGGAAGACCACGCGGGAGGATCACATGAAGCTTAAAGTGCAAGGAGTGGAGGTGAGGCTGTTCGTCCGCACCGTAGCGCACACAAACACATCGACTCGATTCCGAAGCATTCAGGTGCATATAATGGGCGCACTTAAGAAAAAGGAAGACCTCTCGCCTGGATGTGAGCGCTGTGGTTTTTGAAGTTGTTGAACATGTACAGCGAGTCCTCAAGTCGGCTGCAACTTTTCTAGTCCACATTTGAGAATGAAAAAATACACCTCAGCAGCCTGAGTTTAGTTTTTCCCTTGATAGCAAACAAAATGGAAGCAATTGTTTGTACCTTATTAAGCTCGGGATGTTTGCTCTGCTCCAGAGTGCCGGCATTAATCTTCCCCCATGCTGGGAACCACTGCCATCACAGGTAGACTGCAGGGCCCTTTTCTGCTTTTCTGCGCCCTGGCATGGCCCCGCTGAGTGTGTGTGTGCGTGTGTGTGATTTATCTTCACTCATACACACATATACACACACAACAAACAGCGTGGGTGCTGGATCCAGAGTTTTACTCATTTGTTTGTGGGGATTTGAACTGAATATCTATCATTTTTGTACGGTGTTCCCTGGGCAGTTGAGCATGCTCAGGTCATGTGATGCTGTTTCGCATATGCAAGGCTGAAACCATGTTCTATGCAGTCGTATAGTTGACAAAACACACACACCGAATATTTGATACACTTGCCAACATGTGCATTATTCTCTGCTTGCTCTCTCTTCATGGAGCTCTCATTAGACAGTGAACAGACCTCACTTAACAACCGAATCTCTGCCAATCATTTTTTGGCAGTGCGTTTTCTCGGAGCAGATGTTTCAGTGGAAGTTTGGAGTTTCTACCGATTATCCGTTAAATCCACCAGCTTTAGCTCTTAAAGGTATACTTCACAATTTTTTTTTTTTACACGTCGTCCCAAAAACAAATTTTTAACAAAATATTTTACATTTTCTTTGTAGAACTTGCAAAGCTAGAGCAAAAAACAAATATTGCTTAGAGTTTTTGTCTTGTTTTTAAAATGATTTCTGTTTAAGTCAGTTTAAATCCATCATAAAAGTTGTCTATACCACCCATTCTGAATATTTTATGTGTTCTGAAGTTAGGGATTGACAACAATTTAAGTAAAAAAAAATGTTTTTGTGATTAAAAGTATATCTTAGAAGAAAATGTGGGTAACACTTTATTTTAGGTCAAAATTCACAGTATTAACAATCCATTAATTAACACCACTAGCTCAATAAACTTCTAACTCCCCGTTAATAAATAGTTAATAGCGTTGGGCATGTTCCTTCAAGAGTAATTAGTTATAGCTACTAGTTACTTCTCATAAATAGTACTGTGATAGAGTTAGTAACTAAATAAGACTGTTATAAAAGTAACTAATTACCATGGAAAGTAACCATCCTCTTAAGGCCCAAGGTGTTTTTTTACATGCATGTTTTTTACTTCTCTTTACTTCTCTTAAAAGGCTTATTGAACCCTTATTAGAATAAAAATTTAAGTATCATCTTTTGATATGATGTACTTTTAGAGAAAAAGTATGTCCATATATGTGGACTCGTGGTCTGAATTTACATAAAATACTCTTTCCTGAATGTTTTAATTGTGTATTTAACATAAAATGTTTTTTTTTTTTGACTATCAGAGTGTAAAAACTATTTTTTTTGCGACATTTCATATGCTGTAAAACAGTTGCAGGATGACACTGTATGCCTGTAGGTCCTAGGAGGTTATTGTATTACTTTAAAAAATGTGAGAGATAATTATCAAATTCAGCATAGCATTATAAATATTATCATTACGTATTATCATTACTATAGTTGCACAATAAAAATAATAGATGGTTTAGAACTTCAAGTATTTATTGCAAAGACCACAAGACTTGAGGTGCTTCATTAGTTTAGATTTACTTGCCACCGACGCAGAAATTTCCTGGGCTTAAGTTGCACGATACATAAATATCCCTGCCTTTCACCTCAATAAGAGAAAAGTAGTGTTTATATTTAAAGTTTGCAAACGCTTCCTTTACATTTGTTATATTTGCCATCATCTGGCTCCTGGCAGTTGGTGTGTGAAACTGACTTTGCGAGTGCTTGTTTGTGAACGCCCGCACTACTCTGCTTCTGATTGGCAAACAATGGAAATTGACTCTTATCTAAGCCAGCCACTATGTTCTCAGTTACACCATGTTCACAGACAGGCCAATCATCGTCACTGGTTGGTTATATGTCCCGCCCCAGCCCCGATCACACACATACAGTACACACACCCCAGAGAAAGAGAGGTCCAATGATTAAGAAAGACTCTGCTCGCATGAAAACCGCTTCAGTGATCTCAATTATAGTAACGCGCATTTTATTGTGTCAGTAACAGTAACTGCCTTGTAACGGGGGAAACAGTATTTAATTTGATTACTTGTTACTGAAAAAAATATCACCATTAGTTATGCCATTTATTTATAGTGCCGATATTCCAATGGAGTCTCATGGCAATTCGTAACTTTTTGATTTAGCGGCTAATTAGTGTAAATTCGTACGATTTCATTTGTACACTTTAGTACGATTTGCTCATCACCCAATGACAGTTGGGCTTAGACGTGGGGTTGAGTGCCACGCCCCCTTTTTAAAATCGTACATTTTCATACGACTCAACTCATTCAATTCGTACAAATTAGCCTCTAAACTGTCAAAACGCAAAATACTTACGTTTCCTCGTGAGATCTGGCTGGTTATTCCCATCACTGACAGTAAGTAAGGTAGAAGTTGGGTTTAGGTTTTACGTAGCATTAGGGATGCAAAATAAGATCATATTTTATAACTACAGATGGATGGTTAATATCTTATAGGCAGGTAATAAGCCAGTAGTAATAGCTCAAATTGTGACCTAAACTAAAGTGTTATCAAAATGTTTAAAATCCCAACTTGCTGGTATTTTAATTAATATTCACAAGTATCCATATTAAAAAAACATTACAACATGACATTTGCGTACTGTACATTGAGTGTTTGATTATAGCAACTTTTGGTGTATTATTCACTATTCAATGACTACAATAGATGAAATATAGTGCACAGTTGATAATGACCTCTTTTGTTGTGCCCCTTTTTTGAAGTTTTGACAGCCCCTGGCCATTGCTTGTGGCTTGAATGATTTTGCGTTCAACAGCCGCATACAAAAATCCCTCAGTAAATGAAGATAGAATCTTCCATTTCGAGTGAACTGTTCCTTAAAGGACATTTACAGCGGTAAAAGTTTCTCAGTGCATTATCCAGCAGAGTCTTGTAAAGTTCAGATATATGTGAGAAATGCTGGACGTGGATCTTTATGGGCCGCTGTCTTCTCTGAGATGTCCTCTGACCCTCATACACACAAGCTTGTGCTAAAAGATCTGGCTTGAGATGAGGTAACTCAGAGTTGAACTCACTCACTGAGCTCTCTCTCTCTCTCTTCTCTCGCTTTCTCTGTCTCCTTTATATCTTTCCGCCAGCACCGCCTGCTGTCATCTGGCAGGCTTATCCTCTAACATGCCTCCATATGTTTTTTCCTGTGTAAATGGCTGTGGCTTACAGTGGGCTAATTTCAGAAGGATGGCAAGAAGGCTTTGGGTACTAAGGTGGACTCAGCAGAAAATTGCATGTCTGGCAAGCTGAGAGAAAAAAAAAGAGTGAACAGTGCGAACACTCTGTAGCTCACAGCAGGCTTAAAGGGATAAGACAGAAGGTTTAGTTCTTGTTTTCCAATACAATAAAATGCATGGCTTTCTCTGCTTTTTAATTGACTTTATTTAATTGATGTGAATCATTTGGGGCATTCCGAGTGTTTTACTTTACAAAAATGTTGAAGATATTGCTTTGTTTGGTTTTTATTCATCAAAGAATCCAAAATCCTTAATAATGATTTCTATTTAACAAATAAAAACAGTATACTACTGTGAACCAGTTCATACAGTTTAACATGCTTAAAAATGAAATTATTTAATGACAATAATTCTTGATGGTTACAACTGAATTAGTTATAAAATAACTGTGTAAAATGATAAAACATGAAATGATTAAAACATATGATATTAATTGTGCCCAGCTTAAATGTAATATAAAGGTACCAGGGAGAAAATGAGAGACAGGGGAGGGAGAGAGAGACAAAGAGCAGTAAGTAGGCCTTAAAGAGAGCCTGATAGCAGTAGAGCCACAGAAGAAGCCTCCAGAGCAGGAGAGAAGCAGAGCAGGAGAGATGCAGGGCAGGAAAAGAGAGCCAGAGCAAAGTTGAACAGCTATTTTGTATCTTTCTTGACCATGTGACCAAAGCCCAAATAATGAGACTTTGAAAACTGACCAATCAACATGTGACCACATTGTAAAACCCCCAAAGTTCACACACTAGGTCTTGATCTCACTAGTATCTGCTTTTGGAGTCAGTATGGGCCTTTTTGGTGAAAAACACAGTTTTGCCACATAAACAAATGCATATGATAATTTTCATTAGATCACATGATCATCTGCCAGCTCCTGCACCAGCACAGCTGGTTGTATTCTCTGTGATGTAGACCTACACAGACTGACTTTTATCACGGATACATAACCACAATGACAGAGCACATGTGTTTTTCTGGTTTATCTTCTTAAATAAGCATGTTTTGTGTTGATTCCATTTATATTTAGTGTTTGCCCTTCATAATGTTAACTTTCAGTGGCAGGAAAACTCAGTGGAACTCATTCATAAATATTTCCTAAGCAACCTCGGTAACGCCCACTAGCGCCTACAGCCACCACCCATGGTGAAAAGCATCTATAAAGTCGCTGATAGTGTGAACAATGCTTTATAGACTTATTTTTGAGTGAAGTGTCCCTTTAAGAAACCCCTCTCTGTGTCAGTGAAGAGACTACAGTCAAATGACCGCTTCTCCATAGGTGAGGCATAATGAGGCTTCTGATCAGACGCCTCCAGCAGAGAGCGGACTCCAACTGTCCTGATTCTCTCCTCCTGCTATGAGCAACAGCATAATAGAAGAGCGGCCACTCGGTA